CCTGGACTTGCAACAATCCAACTGTGCAAGCACGTGTCTCCATGACTCCCTTCACCTTGCCTCTCCAGAACCGTCAGCACATGACATCCAGCAATACCAAGAGTATTAATCCAGCACACAATTCCTCAGGCACTGTCAGTTGGTTCTAAGCCCAGAACTACACCTGGCTTCCCCTGATGCTCCAAGATCCATGTTCTTCAGGCCCAAAGGGGATTATCAGTAGTGTGTCTCCAGGAAAGACCAAACTCTACCCCTGAGAGAGAAAAGTGGTACCCACTTCATATCAGCCTGACAGGCAGAACAATCTGACATCTCCCTATTATGACAGATCCTAGCAGCTGTTTTAATTAAAGCAGTGAGGACCAATGAGCTGCAACAGGAAGGGAAGAAAAGGAGTCGGTTCCTCTACCTCCAGTGAATTTCTAACGGGCACTGCTAAAATCACAGCTGGATACTGGCTGAGTGCAGAACACTGGATGGGCAGCTGAAATCGTGGTCCTGGACCAACATCAACACAATTAGAATAAATGCTGGGTGAGCACTAATCTACCAAAAGGGATGCCCATGCCAGTGTTGAAAGGGTAAGAGGGAATTTATAGTGAGTGCTAAGTAATTACAGAATAAATATGATGGCTTTAATTCTGGTCTGTGTTGGGGGGGGGGGGGGTGTGCGTGTGTGTTCACACGTGTGGGAGTGCCCACTAGGCCAAAAGATTGTATCATATCCCCAGAGCTGAAGTTACAGGTGGTTGTGAGCTGTCCAACATGGGAGCTACTAACCAAACTCTAGTCCTCTGAGAAAGCAACAAGTGATCTTAACCATGGGACCATCTTTCCACCCCACTAGGTGGGTGATCACTTTCTTAGAGAAGGAAAATGGGAACAAGTACCTAGAAGTCAGGCTAAGGAGGAAGACTGGCAGACCAGAGAGCGAGCATTTAGAGACATTCTCATTCTCATCCCTCTCCCTCCCTCTCTCCTTCCCTCCCCCTCTCCCTCTCCTTCCCTCCCTTTCTTCCTTTCTCCTCCCTTTTTTCTCCTCCCTTTCCTCCTTCTTTGACAATATCTCTCCAGTCCAGGCTTCAAACCCACACTCATCCAGCCTCAGCCTCCCAGGTGCTGGGATACGAGGTGTGTATTACCACATCCATGAATGACTAAAGGAAAGCGGGGACCCCTCTCCTATCTTCTCCTGCCTCCGGACAGAGACACAGAGTTCTCACATCCCCCCTACAAACTTAAATGTTAGGTAAAAGGGTGCACAGTTCCTGGGGACTCCTCTAGGCGTCCATGGAGCCAGGAAAAGAACAGTGTCTCTTTTAGGGGGACAGGCTGTGAGCACTGAACAACAAGGTCCCACTGCCTGCCCCCAGTAAGCCCCTACCTATCAAGGACAGAGCTCAGTTTTGCCCCTCAAACTGATCTGCTAAGTAATTTGGACAAATAAGCGCTCTTTTTTCTTTTTCTTCTCATTTGTAAGGGAAGAAATTTATCCAAATGATGCCTGCAGATTCCTTCCTCATTAACAGTCTCTTTTTGGTGCTTAGAAGCAGTCTACACATGCTGACACCAGGAGTCTATTTATTCATCTATTTAGCAGCGCTGGGGAGTGAAGCCAGACCTTCACTCATCTTAAACAAGCACTCTGCCACTGTTACAGCCCCAGCCCATGGCAGCTCATTTGTAATGATAAAATAATACTTCTGTAGATAAATAGACGAAACTGGGAAAAAGTATATGGTGGCAACCCAGCTACAGTTTCCCTTCCCATGTGGGTCACAACCGATTATCTCTAACTGAGTGTGCTCAGCTTAGAGTTGATGTGGAGGCCAGAAGCCTAGAGAGAGGCCACTGGGAGGGGTTCCTTAAGAAAGCATGGCTAGTAGATCTAACTAATATGAAAGTGAGAAGGGAATGCCCAAGGTGAATACGCATAAGTAGGAAAGGGGGAGGTGCATGTGGAGAGGGGCAGCGGGAAAAATCAGCTAAAACAGCGGGAATATGATAAAGCCACTGGAAACCTACAATCTTATAGCCAAACTTTTTTAAGTTGGAAGGTAGCTACCCTACATGGCTGGGACAAACGGGCAAAACTGGTGCCAAGTATGGGATAACTCCTTGTAAGTTGCTCAGAGAAGTCCTAGAAATCCCCAAAACAATACAAGCTCTTGCAATTCCTCTTGAATGCCCACCAGAACTAGATGGTAAGACCCTGTTTCTGAAGCTACCACACACCTTGACTGCATGAACTAAAGAGATCAAGCCGGAACTGAAATGGAATCCTCCTGGATGGCAAGCTTTCATAGTGCTGAATGTACGACACAAGATACTGGGGGAGATGGGGTGTCAGTGGTCTTGGCACACTGTGAATGCTCCAAACTAACTGCTAGGCAAGATGTGGCCACTTGTGCAATAATGGCACAACTGTTATAGATGTAACCAACCACTTTGTGCTTGGATTTGAGGCCCACTCCACAGGAGGGAGTCCATATTCAGTATTGTTGGACACCTTCTAAAACCCATTGTGGGAGAGACATAGAACCTAGGGGTCCTGCTGTTTAGCTAACGTGACAGAGTGTCGAACTATCTTCTAAATATATACATTGATACCCATAGACAATTACCACACTCAGCCTTTATCAGGGGAGCCTCTCTTTTGGGTGAAATGTGATGGACACAGAGATGTGTGGCTCCACAAGGTGCTGAGAATACGTGACAGCTGAATGTTCAGCCCCAAATAAGACATTTGTATCATTCCCTCCAAGGCTTAGGGAGCATGAAGGAAGAGAAGCAGAAAGACGCTAAGAGGCTCACTATGAGAAGGACTGTAGAAACATCTTCTGGGATGTTCATAGCCTCTGCAGTCATGAACTCTCTCAACAACCACAGAGAACTGCACTGGGTCTGTGCAAAAATGGACCATCAGCAGCCAGCCAAGGACAGAGGAAGGACTCAGAGGACTCCATTCCTCACTGCTTAACTATTTCCTACAGACAGATCCAGGGAAAGCGGGAGCCAATGCCTTCAGTGGTGCATCCACAGACCTCAGTGCATAGTCCCAACCCACAGGTTACACAGATGGCCCTGAATTTAAAAAAGAAAAATGGGCCACACAACAAAATAAAAAATCATGAACCTAGAAAAGAAACAGGTAGGGAAGAGGGAGGGTTCATAAAGGTGGGCAGAAGGTAAAAGGGGCTGAGGAGAGAGAGTAAGCAGGGTGCGTGAAACTAACTTAAAAAGAATAATACATGTTTACTGCACACATTTTAGAAAAGAAAATATAAATAAAGTAATATAAAAATATAAATAATAAGGAAGTAAAATCCCATATGCTACACTACCTAGAGCCTTTAAGAAATGTTCCTTTTTGACTCTTGCTTTGTGAGTGTTGGTTTTTCCTTTTTCTTCACATAACTGCCTTTTAACAAAACGGGGATCACAACGGGGATGGGATCACAGTCTTTATAGTGTTGTATACTGTTCTTATGCCATGAGCACTTTCCAAGTGATCAGAGTCTTTGAAAATGCAATCTTACCGACTACACATGCTCCCCCCACAAGAGGCAATTCCATGACTCCTAGGCATCTGCTTGTTTTCCTAGTCTAGATGATACTGTCAGGAGCATCCTAACCTAAAGATGTTAGTACCACAGCATCTCCGTCTCCTCAGGTCTTCTATGAGGATTTACAAGGTCAGTAAACACGGCTCCAAAAGGACCTGTGCCTGTATCACCATATTAATTCCCATCAATCCACCAGGACCCACTGACCTTCCTGAGCAGAGTGGGGTGAAGTTCTGAAAGACAGAATCAGAATGCAGGACAGTGCTTTGCCCATCATCCCTTCTCCATCTTGAAGTTAACTGCCTAGCGAGACAGAGTTCCGAGCCCTTAGGGCCCGAAGCCTGACTCTGTTTCTGACTCTTACTGGCTCTGGAAACTGAAACAAGCCTCAGGTCCCCTCATCTATGAAATGGAGATGATTACTCCTGCTGACTAACCAGAGAAGCCTCTACACTTCCTGAGAAGACGTGAACAGCCTTTGTAAACACCAAGGCTGTGGGCTAGAGGACACTACAGCTACCCTAGTCACATCCCAGGAGACTGAGAAGGGGTTGTTTGGCTTCATGTTGTGTGTTTTAATTGCTGTTGTTGTTTGGAAAGCCCTGGGGCTTTAGCTATCACTGTACTCCTGAAACTATGTACAACTGGCTCTAATAATGACGAGAAAGCGGTTTTCCGGGGGGGGGGGGGGGTAGCTGAGTTCAAGTGCCCGGGAGAACCTAGCAGCATTTTCCAAAGGTCAAAGATGTGCTGGAAGCTGTAAGGCCTGGGGTTGAGCCTAGGACCTCCCCAAAGGATGCTGGATGGATTGAAGGACATAGCAAACCTTCCTGGTGAAGGTACATCCATTTTCAAAGCTCCTTACCCCTCTTTCTAGGGTTCAGACCAGATATTTTGTCTTTGGGTGAACTGAAAAACCAAGCTGATTCAGTTGGTGCAAAAGATCACCCGTGGCAGAAGACCCTGGGAGCGTGCCCTTTTAGTCCTGGATCTCTAAGACCCTCTGCTTGGAAATGCAACTAGTGCTTCCAGCCGGATCTCCTCAACCCAAGGTAGATACAAAGAAGACCACGATGACTCTCTTGGGAAGCTCAGCTGGAAAACCTGGGTTTCCCTCCACACTGCTCCATCCACCCCGCAAATGCCTATCCTACCTCTTCATGTCTAGCATCACAGGAGGGGGATTCCAGTGAGGCTGCCGGGGCAGATAGGGACAGAACTGCGCAGACCCCCACCGACCGCCATCCTCCCTCATTTCCATCATCAGCACCCATCAGCTGCTGCCCCAGCCCACCTCCACTGCCAGAAGCGCCTCTCCCGCTGTCCAAATGCAAACAACAGGTGGCACCTGCCGGTCCTCCCCAACCGCACCTCTGCCCACCCCTCCACCTGCGCTGCAGCCCTCCAGCTGCGCCCCGGCCGGGAGAAGCCTACCTTTGAGGTTCTGGGGATGGCCCCGCGACGCGCGGCTCTGGTTTCCTCGTTGCAGAGAGGCGACACTGGAGAAGTTGTTACCCATGGCATCGGGCCCCCAGGGGTGCTTCAACGGGGGCCAGGCGAGGCTGGGCAGGAGCGCAGGAAAGGTGTGCAAGTGTGTGCGCGCGCGAGTGCGCGCCGCCGGGGGAGGGCCCTGGCGGGGCTGCGGCCGGGGGCGGGCGGTTCGCTGTCTCCGGCTCTCCCTGG